TTTTTTTAGCAACAGGTGGCTGGTAAAAAGTGCCCCATAGCGTGGGTTTTGGCGCGTTTGATTACGAACTGTTACAAACATCTAGGCTGGCGAACGTGGAGATCAACTAAATGATCGTGAATTATTCGATTAATAAAGCTTAAAATTACTTATAACTATATTTAACGTAGAAAGATAGATTTAATATATTCCGATGAAGACGTGTTCACTATAAAACTAATTAATAATACATAAAAAAGAAAAACTAATTGTTATATAAATAATTTAATAATGAACCGTAAAGCATGTATAAAGACCTTTTAGTAGAAATTTAACATTAAATACCATAGGGTATATTATTGATAGGAAGTTTGTATAAATTATACACATGAAGAGGTCTTTTTTCTTTCCGATTAAAAACGCTATCTGTTTACCTGGCCTGCTTTCTACTTCGTGTTACGCAATATCCCTGGTATATTCGAACAAATAAACATTCTCATCAGATCAAAAAGGTGTCAAAGAACAATTTTGTTCGTATAATCCAGATCGAAATATTTACCGTATTTGAGTTATAAAGCAAAAACTTTCAAGCTCCCTAAATCCTTAATATAGGGGCCAGCCCCTTTTGAATAGTATTATATGAAAGCCCTTGCAATTATGCACAACTTTTGTTAAACATGTTTAACAAAATATTTTTAGTTTTCAAGATAAAGGAAATTTGTGTAATTTTGCTCTTTTAGGCGTTCTATTTTTTGACCCCTATATAGTGCCATTTTGAATACAGAAATCAAAAAAACAAAAACCGATGTGCACAACTTCAATCCTTCTGTTATCTAAAACCAGTAAAATTTCTGCTCCAGCTCTAGTGGTCTCTGAGCCTTTGTCTGGAAATGAAAGCCTATAATTTTTCGTTTAAAGGGAAATAACTCAACACCGGAAGTGAATTTTTGAAATTTTAGACAGCATTCTGAAAGAGTTTATTACCATCTATAATGTCTGAAAATTTGAGCAAAATCCATTGCGAAATGAGCGAGATATGAGGTCAAAGTTGGCGAGGAAAAAACAAAAAAAAAATAATAAGAATAATCTTAATCTTCAGAATCAGAGAAGGTCTTCCGTTGGAAACGGAAGACCTTAATTAAATAGTCCTTATGTATATATTTAAATCACCAATAAAAATATGATAACATTATAAATATTAAAATCCATTAATCATAAAAGAATCAAAGCCTGGATGACTATAAATGTAATTTCTAGGACCCATTTACACCAAAAAAAAAACACTAAACAAAAAACAAACAAATAAAAACATAGACCAAAAACCTTAGTTGATTGTAAAATTCTTAAAAATAGATAACTGTTTCAAATTTCAAACATAAATATATCTCTGTAAAATCTTTTTTTTTAATGATTAAAACCATTCTTAATTAATGTCAAATAGAAATTAATAACCAAAACTAAGTTTGGCCTTAGTTGCAAGTTCTTTCAAAAATGGGAGCTCCTGATTTTAAAATGTGATTCAACTGATTCTAAAAATGAAATTTTAAATTTGTAGATTGAAAAAACTTAAATCTTCCTAATTTTAAGAATAGATGATACAAACTTTTGTTAAATAAGTCAATTGAATAAGTTTAGCCAAAAATCATTTTATACAAAATTTTTGAATAATGAAAAATTGTATTACAATGATCAGTTTACAACAGTGAAATGGCATTACGGAAGAAATATATGATAAGTGTATTAGTTACGGTACAACCAAAATAAGTTCCAGAAATGTATACCAACAAAAAGTTCCAGTTTTTTTTGTAGTACATGTAGTGTGTCCTTAAAAAAAAAAACTTCTCTACTCATGTAAATTAACTAGACCAAAATGAACAAGGAAATCCATAAAAATTATTTTCGTAGTCATATTTTCTTAAATTGATGCAACTTTTGATTTAGAAACATGCATTTTTTAAAATAAATTATTGGAAAAAATACTTTTTGGAAGATCCCATGAATGGAAAAGTTAGTTGTAATATGAGAGCTTAATATTCATGTAACCCTGGATTAGAGAGATAAAGGGAAGCAACCTTCAAGGAGAGACAACCAGTTTTATCTATACACCAAATGTACCGATATATATCGTTTTACTCTAACAAAAATGACACATAATGAAATTTTGATAGGAGAAAACAAGACTTCGTAGTAGCTGTTTATCCTGAGTTGTCACGAATCACACAAACTGTCAGATTAGGGGGGTGAACACTGAGGATAAGGGACTCTGTAGGTTAGGTGGGGGACTGATAATACTACAGGTGATCTCTATAGAGGTAGATATTTCACCTGGCTACTGGTCACAGGTAAATACAGTAGATTCCTACTGACAGGGACTTAAATATAACAGCTCTCCCTATCACTAAAGTTTAATGTGTAAGACAAAGAATGATGTAGGATTTGTAAAAAAAAAATACATTAACTCATTTTAAGGCCTGAATAAAGTTTTGGACTAAAAATTCACAGATTATAAGATAGGAGGTTTGAGCTGGAAAAAGATAACCTTGTAAAGAAGAAAGAAGACAGGTGCATGCACCTTTTACAAATTGGACCAAAATGAAATATTGATGTTGATATTTTATTCTGTTGCTTTTATCTCTCCCTAGTTTTTCCTATCATTAACGTATAAACGGCTATAACTCCAAACAATGACAGAACAATTTTCATTTAAACCCTATAGTACTGCTTTCAGAAGCATGGATTCAATAATTATTCAAATCAGACTCACAGAAGAGTTTAAAGCAAAGACAAATATTCTAATCAATGAAGATCTAAATTATCAAATAGAATTGAACCAATTTAAATCCAAGTTTTTTTCCCTAGTTCACAATCTCTTGAAGATAGAGGGAGAACATATATATTCTTTCTATACGCCCAGTCATTTTCTTTTTCAATTTACAAAAATCTGTTAAATTATCCAACAAATTCTAGAACCTGTCATATTTATGTTTCTTTTGTCCATATTTTGTGACAGCATGTATTGTCATATATCAAAACCAGTGGGACAACTCAGTATATTGAGTTAATTATTCCTGGTTCAATTTAGATATTATAAAAGATGACCAATCTTTTTATTTAGAAAAAGAAGTTTTAATCTAAATCTCTAACTACCACCAATCTAAACTTGAGCATCATTTTTTACAGAGGAGGGAAACCGAACATACATACATGTATTCAGCTTTCTGAATCTTGGCACACCACATTAAATAGTTGGTATTAGTGATTACTTATTATAGATTAAAAAATCACACATACATTCAATTACATATGTTATTCCTCAATAAGCAAAAATTTCTTGTGATTAGTGAAAAGAATGTAATACAGACCTACAAATATGGATAGAAATATTCCACATCCAATTAGTTTGGTCTCCAACAGGCAGATAAAATCAGGTCAGTTGTTGGCCAAATTATTCATCAAATTCTCATATGATTCCATTAGATTAAAGTATTAAGAAGTCAAACTATAATCCAGTGTGAACAGGTAGGCAGAGAGTACTATGTAAACCCTTCACAGGAATTAATTAAAGTCCCAAGGACGTAACACAGGTGAGAAATTTTCTCATTTCACAGGGGAACTTCTCACCTTAAATTATGAAACTACCTGAATGGGCCATTGCTGGACTAAGTTATATCAAAGAAAATAGTTAATTAATTTTGTTTACTTAAAAAAAAATCTTTCAAAAGAATTTAATTAAACTAAAAGAAAATACTATATAACGGTATTTTCTGTGTATTACAAACTTTTTGTGAAAATATGTTACGATACTGGTAGTTTTAATTTGAGGTGAGAGTCCTATTTTTGTGACTGTCCCATTTGGGTGATGAAATTGTGTTTTAAGTTTTATATACAGTGCACAATCAGTGACAAATTTATGCACATTTTAATTTTTTTGCAATTTTAAGATGCTTACAAAGAAGCTATATCGTAATTTGATTATCATAAAAATAACCCATTATACAGTACAACTGCAAACTATCCATATTACTTTATAGACTGCATTCTGTACAAAGGGCACTAACTCCTACAGCATACCATCTTCTGGATTCCACCTCTAATCCACACTGAATTTCACCTGAATTTTACCTGGGAATGTTAGCCTGAAATCTTACCTGAGCTTCAGTCTCAAACTCCTCGAATTCCTGGAAGAGTTCCTCCACCTTGTCCAGTGAGTCTCCTAACTGGGACATTCTTGTCTGTAGCCATTCCAGCTTACGTTCTACATTATACTGGTACTGGAAAATCAAATCATAATACTGGGTAAATAAGGATTCTAGCTAAATTTTAAAGGATTAACAATTTAAATTAATTGAAATTGTGAGCCTAAAATCAACTAATGGAAAAAAACATCTTGATTAAAAAAACAAAAATTTTACTATCTGCATAAGTACATAAATCACATATATTTTATATCATTTGACTTGCTCATGAAAAATCTATTTTTGATTAAATAATTCTTATAACCTGCTCTATAAGAGTGTCAGTTTTCTCCATTACTTATGAAAGTAACTGTCAAAAAAGTAGGGCCCATGTATCCTAAATGACTTACTAATTTAAATTCCTCCTCAAACTGCCGTAGAAGCAGTGCCTGTTTAAGTCTCTTCTCGTGTCGAGCCCAGAATCCTTCAAACTCTTTCTTAATCTCCTCAAGTTTTATCAGAAGTCTGCAATTAAACAAAAATTGGCTCAAAAGTTGTATCTTCAAAACATGACAGAAGATGTCCTAACAATTAAAATCAGAAATTCAGTAAAACCAATCTTATTGATATAAATATATAGTCAGACTGACTTCCTTTTTAAATACTATATACAATGGATACCCGTTATACCTCTAACTGCATTATCAAAAGTAACTGGATGTTTCATTGAAATTTCCCTTTTTATGGTAATCAGTCAAATCATTAAATTACAGATAGATACTTTAGTCATTGATTGACTTTATCCTGTCAAAGATAATAATTTTTCACTCTGTAAAAGCAAGATTGTTCTTGAGATGTCCATTTTACAAGCTAGGATCATTTCACACCTTTGAATACTCAGTCTACATGCATATTGACTTTTG